TGTGGAACATATCATAACATACTTGAGATTCTAGAAATGGGAATGGGAGGGAATAGAAGGGACACAGTTACTCAAGAAAATGCAAATGCCATTTTGCTTGCAAATTAAATTTAAAATCTAATGAAGTGGGTGTAGAAAATGATTGAAAAATTAATTGAGAGAAACAAATTTGGAATACATTTGTAAGGAACATCTGTAAGAAATTCTGCTGTGACACACCTCTTCAGAGAATCAAGTGCTTCCTGTTAGCTAAAACTTGAATGGAAGCCAGGCTAACGATAGATCTTTAGAACATGTCAGAGTAGTCCAATTTATACTCTGAAGCCAATTGGTGAACTCATAGACTTGCCTGGACTTGAAAAAGCAACAGGGAATTTTTCCAATGCAAACTCCAAATAAATATTTAGGCCAAAATTTGTTTGTTTGTTTGTTTGTTTAACATTTGCCTCCTTTTCTTTCTGTCTATCTCTGCCTCTCATTGATGATAACTTTTAAAAATAAGCTGGACATGTCAAGACGTTTTGTTTTTAAATACTTCAGCATGTAGCGCCTAAGAACAAAGGCATTCTCCTTTACAATCACACTATCACAATCAAGAACTAAGCTCCAAGTTTCTACATTCTATTTGCTTGCCATGTCTCTTAAATCTCATTTACTTTAGAACAGCCACCACTACCACCACTTTTTTTTTTTTTTTTTAAGTTTTCTGGGACACTGACATTGTGATGAGTCCATGTTACTCTACATGTAGAATTCCCCCTCCACCACCACCAATCTGTTTTTGGCTGACTGTGGGTCAGACTTTTGGGAAATCGATCACACTAGTGTTTACTGTTCATCTGTATCTTTGAATGAGAGATAATTGATTTTTTTTAAAAAAAAGATTAAATGAGTTGGCCTTGTTAGATATTAAAAGTATCAGAGAGAGGAAGAGGTAAGGAACTGTTGACTTGTTTTAGTGCCAGATTCTTCAGATTAGATTCAGATGGTATATTCATGAGGTGTGTGTGAATCTTGAAATTTCTGAGAGTGTTTTTCAATGATTCATCAAGCCTTTAGAGATTTACTCAAAAACTCCCTTTTCTTCCTCCACTGAGAGATTTTTGAACTTGAGAATTTAGAAAGTGATTGTTCATTATCCAAATCCTTTTAGGAGAAAAAAAAAGAGTGGGTGGCACTCTAAAGGAAGAATTTTAGTTGCTGGGATAAGAGGCAAAATTTATGACTTTCCCACTGATTCCTCAGCCAATATGGCCCCTCCCCAGTACCCACTTCTCTAGAGATTAAAACATGCTTGAATTGGAGTAGGCATTTCCTTCCTTCTGTTCAGTGCCAGTTCTCAGAGGAAAACATTCATTTTGCTCTTTGATTCCTGTAGCCCAGAGACAGCAATGAAAGGACCTACTGCTTCCTGGAGTATAAGGATTTCATCTGGGGGGCTGCAGGGCAGGAAAGAGAGTTTAAAGGGTGTGTGCATCAGCGTGGGTGTGAATGATTTCCCCTAGGGCCAGTGAGCTGGCCTGGAGCCCAGAGTATGCCATTCATCTACCTTAAATTGCACCACACAGCAGAGATGCTTGAGGGAGAAGTCACTCAATGGCAGTGCCACTTGTTGCCAGTTTTCATTGTGTCTCTTTGATATGGGGTGTCCTAGAAACTGATGCAGTTTTCTACTTCTTCCCAGATGGGGAGTAAAAGATGCATGGTGCAGTGGGTCAATAAACTGTAAATGAAATAAACCAAAATGAGAATAATGAAGCCAAGAGTTGAATCTCCTCTCATGGTACTGTGGTCCTACAAATGTAAAAATGCTTGAGTATTTCATCTAAGTCCTTTTTCTAAGCAATAAGGAGATGGTAAAAATAAACAATCTCTTGATACAGATATGGAATCTATTCAGATATCTGATGTTCAAAATGTAGACCCAACTTGATCCATATTGATCTGAGAATGTTTACTTCTACCATTCAGCCTCAGGTTACAAGAAAAATAAACATGAAATCAAGCATGTAAATAAATCTGGCTGTACTCCTTTCATCTTGAAATCAGTGTCTTTGACTGTTTCTAATTAAGGAAATATGATTTGAAAGCACTGGGGTTTTGTGGGGTTTTTGTTGTTGTTGTTGTTGTTATTTGACACAAGGAGAAAATTTTGGTCAAACCACATGGTGGATTTGTCCAAATGTTGCAGGAAGTCAGGGACCCCGAACGGAGGGACGGGCTGAAGCCATGGCAGAAGAACATAAATTGTGAAGATTTCATGGATATTTATTAGTTCCCCAAATTAATATTTTTATAATTTCTTATGCTTGTCTTTACTGTAGTCTCTGAACATAAATTGTGAAGATTTCATGGACATTTAACACTTCCCCAATCGATACTCTTATAATTTCCTATGCCTGTCTTTAATCTCTTAATCCCATCATCTTCATAAATTGAGGATATATGTCACCTCAGGATCCTGTGATGATTGCGTTATCTGCACAAATTGTTTGTAGAGCATGTGTGTTTGGACAATATGAAATCTGGGCATCCAAAAGGAACAGATGGCTGTGATTTTCAGGGAACAAGGGAGATAACCACTGGGCCTGACTGCCTGTGGGGCCAGACAGAACAGAGTCACAGTTCTCTTCTTACAAAAGCTAATAGGAGAAATATCACTGAATTCTTTTTCTCAGCAAGGAACAGCGCTGAGAAAGAGAATGCATTCCCAGGGGTAGGTCTCTAAAATGGCTGCTCTGCGAGTGTCTGTCTTATGCAGTTGCAGATAAGGGATGAAACATGCCCTAGTCTCCTGCAATACTCCCAGGCTTGCTAGGATTAGGAAATTCTAGCCTGGCAAATTCTAGTCAGACCGGTTCTTTGCTCTTGAACCCTGTTTCCTGCTAAGATGTTTATTAATGACAATGTGTGCCCAACAGGACATGGACCTCCATTAGCAATTCTAGTTTCGCCCTGCCCTTGTGATCTCACTCTGACCTTCTGCCTTGTGATCTTTTATTGCCCTATGAAACATACTGATCTCTGTGACCCACACCCTATTCGTACACTCCCTCCCCTTGGAAAGTCATTAATAAAAACTTGCTGGTTTTGCAGCTCAGGGGGATTCACGGAACCTGCCGACATGAGATGTCTCCCCCAGACACCCAGTTTTTAAATTTCTCTTTTGTACTCTTTCCCTTTATTTCTCAGACCAGCCCACACCTAGGGAAAATAGAAAATCTACGTTTTCTAAGTTGAAATATTGGGGGCTGGTTCCCCCAATATCCAAACCTACAGTGGCCAACTGTCCCAATTCGCCTGGGACCAAGACAAGGACAGTGCTGAAACCAGGACAGATATGGAAAAACTACCATAATTGGTCAACCTAGCAAGCCTAAAATGTGCCTATCACTTAAAACATGAATCCATTGCCTAGTTGTTATAATTGTAAACTTACCTCAGAATTGGTGAAATAGAAGAGATGTATTATTTATTGGACTTATACTGCAGAAAGCTCTGTATAAATATGAATGTCCATGAATGCAGATGACAGGATTTAACATGATGTGCTCATGGAAAAGACAAATACCCATGTCCTTTCCAAGAGCTGTTTTGTGATGTTTCCGTCTAAGAAAAGTTAAAGTAGATTTGTTTCTTCTTGACTTCTTCCTGTATGCTGAGAGCAATAACCATTCCAAAGTCTATAACCCCACTGGGTCAGGCTTTCTAATGAATGACCACAGAAAAAACAACAGACACAGAAAGGAAGTTTCCTCTAGAGAAATTTTCTGCCAGTAAAATATTGATCTCTTTTGTCCTTGAGTCCCACAGGGAATTTTTGATAGCTATTCTACAGTAAAGAACTTCCTATTCACAAAACATATACACCATAAACCTAGTTAGAATAAGAATCTGCACTTCAGCCAGAGCTTAGTATCCATTGTGAGGTTGGGTCCCTGAGGAAAATGTTCAACAGGAATTAGAAATATTGACAGCTATTCAATGATTTACATGAGAGCCAAACAAGTCACAGAGGAAAATATCAAAGCAAAACTACTTATAACCTGTTAATAAGGATATACTGTGTCTTCTTCATTAAAAGTTTAAATAGGACTTTTGCTTCTTGCAGAAATTACTAAGTACCCTAATTAACCTTCGTCTAGAGCTCACATAGTATATGATACTTTACTTATAAGGACAATTTATTAAACAATTTGAGAAGCAGAAGAGAACTAAAATTTATTAGCATGCACCATTAAGGTCTAAGAGTCGATGGAAAAGTAAGTGACAACAAAATTTGATGCTAAACATGATTGGAAGTGGTAGTAGAACAGCAGGTACTTATCCTAGAGTAGTTTGAATCTGGGGAGTACAAACACATTGCTTGCCTAGTGGTTTGAGTGCAAAGAATGAGGACAAAGAGATTAGACCACAAGGGTAATGAGAAAACATACTACTGTGATATAGAGTAGTGGCAAGGATGGGCTGTGAAATCCGACGGCCCTGGATTTGAATCCTGGCTCCATTCCACACAACTTGACCTGGGGTAAGTTACTTAAAGATGTAAGCTTCTGTTTCCACTTATTAAAATGGGGATAAGTTGGGCACCATGGCTTGAGCCTGTAATCCCTCTACTCAAGACACTGAGACAGGAGCATTGCTGGAGCCCAGGCATTCCAGGCTGCAGTAAGCTACGATCACACCACTGTCTCAAACAAAATAAAATAGGAATGCTATGTGGTTGTAGCAGAGGAAAGTGCTGTTTGTGTATTAAGTTAAAATGAGTAAATATTAGCAATTTCATATGCTTCAACCTAAAGGGCACCTACCCCTAAGGTTGCTACAATAATTCAGTGAAATAAGGGAACCTGTTCACCTAGAGATTAAGAACATAGTCTCTGGGCTGCCGTCCACCTGGCAAGGGAGTCCCGTCTGTCCAGACCATCCCAGATCTTGCTGCCCGCCCAGTGACCAAAGTCCTTCAGGTCTGGAGGTCGCGGTGTCACAGGCTCCACGATATGTTGTTGGCTGAGCAGCGGCAGAAGCAGAAGTGGGCTGTGAATATTCAAAACACTACCTGGAGTAATGCTGATTCTAAGTTTGGCCAGAGGATACTAGAGAAGATGGAGTGGTCTAAAGGAAGGGGTTTAGGGGTTCAGGAGCAAGGAGGCCCAGATCATATTCAAGTTCAAGTTAAAAATAACCACCTGGGACTTCAAGCTACAAACAATAATGAAGCCAACTGGATTGCCCATCAAGATGATTTTAACTGGCTTCTGGCAGAACTGAACACTCACCAGAGGCAGGTAACAACAGACTCCTTAGACAACAAGAAAAAGAAATCTTTTAGTCTTGAGGAAAAGTCCAAAATCATCGAAAACTGTGTTCATCATAGGAAATTTACAAAAGAAAAGGATCTATCATCTCAGAGCAAAACAGATCTTGACTGCATTTTTGGGAAAAGACAGAGTAAGAAGACTCCCAGGGGTGATTCCAGTCCCTCCACTCCAGACAGAACGAAACCACGATGACAATCCATGCTTTCACCATCCAGGAGTGTTTTGCCAAGCGAATGGCAGCCCTGAAGAACAGGCCCCAGGTCGCAGCTCCAGGATCTGACATTTCCAAGACCCAAGTGAAATGCAAAAGGGGAAAGAAAAGAAACAAAGAGGCAACAGGTAAAAATGGGGAGAGTTACCCCCCCACCCAGTCTAAGGCCAAGCGGCCTAAAGAGGGAAAGCCTAAGAGAGACAAGGTTCAGGAGCCGGGGTCCAAGGTGAAAAGAGCACGGGCAGAGGGACAGCGCAGAGGCCCCTGCTGGGACGAGAGTTCTGAGGCCTCTGCTCAGGGTGCAGGGAATTGTGTGCAGCCACCCGATGGCCAGGATTTCACCCTAAAGCCCAAAAAAACAAGAGGAAAAAAAAGCTGCAAAGCCAGTAGAGGTAGCAGTGGACACTACGCTGAAAGAAAAAACAAAGAAAGAGAAGAAAGGAAGAAAGGCTCTAAATGAATTCTCTCCAACCAGGACTTTCCGACCACTCAGCTGTCAGGGTGCTGCCAGAGCAGACACCTCTGGCCTGAAGTCAGAGCAGAGTTCACCCCAGAGAGCTGGGGCACATCTTGTCACATGCCCATGGGTGGCCGAGTCTTGCCCTCTCACCATGTTTCTCCCCAAATTATGTTCCCAGGAGGGCTTTGTTTTTTAAATGTTCTCAATCATGGCTCTCACAAACAAATACATTTTTGTAAACTCTGAAAAAAACAATAGTCTCTTGAGCCATGCGGCTTTCTTTTTGATGCTGACTCCACCAACATCTAGTTGTGTGATGCTGGGCAAATGACTTACTCTCCCTCTGCCTCTCTTGCCTCTTGCATATAACAAGGTTATTAACAGCACCTGTTTTGTTGGCTTGTTGTGTTGGGATCAGTGGTTTGCAGACAATTAACCACGCAACAAATGTTAACAATATTAAACATCTTTGAGTACTAAGGCAGTTGGTCTAAAGTGAGCCTGGAAATAATTGATAAGCAATACAGTGTTCTATTGGCTATTGTATAGTTTTGTCTTTATGTTCATATCTAATTATTAGGTTAGTTCAAAAGCAATGACGGTTTTGCCATTAAGTGACGGCAAAAAAACCGTAATTACTTTTGCACCAAACTAATATCTACCTATCTAATTATCTAAGTGATAATTTAATCATGACATTTGATGATATAGGTAAATAATGTTGTGTGTATTTATATACATATACACATATATGGTATATATATGCAGATAAATGTACATCTCCTTATTGGTGTTACATCAGAAGTTAAGCCACCTAATAATAAAGTTGACTTATGAAGTTTAATCTTTCATTTCACGCTGATACATAAAATTACAATTGATGTTCAGACCCAAAAAATTAGAAAACCAAAATACTCATTATTTAGTGAGTTAAAAAAAAATGTACTAAGCAATAGCTTAACATTCTGCAGGATTAATGACCTTCAGAAGACTCTATAAACTTCTGATCAAAATAGTTAAGTAGAGATTTGGGGGGAAATATGCAACAGAAATCTGAAATATTGACATAGGTTTTTTATTTCTTAGGATAACAAAATAAGAAATAGCAAAAATATCACGTCAAAATTGTAAGATTTTAAAAATTCATGTATCATAATTTTATGAGGATTTTGATGGTCCTTTGCTCTAATTTATGATGGGCTCCACCCATAAGTTTGAAATCAACCTTATTTGGTTCAGGTATATTTTATTATCGTATTTATATTCAGAAGCCAGTAAATCCCTGGTGATCACATTAATTTATCAGAAATAAAGGTTGAACTTACCTATTTTTTAACCTAATCATGACTTGCTTTAATTGTATAATCCCAAAATTCAGGTGCTTTTGAGATTCTTTGTGGTGTTGAATTTTCATTTTAGTTGTAATAACTTTATTTTAAAAATCTCTGGTAGTCATCAAAACTGGATGTCCAGTTATTTTAAGTTTAAGGTACTCTAAAATCCCTCAAAATGTCCCTCAATAACTAAAAATTCTAATTGGCTCTTTCATAACAAATTCAGAAAGCCACCTTTCTTTTATTTTTCCAGGAGTTCCTATAATATTTACAGCTGGAAAAGCCTAAAGCATGGTGGAATATTGGTGTGCTGTTATTGTAAAACTGCAAATTGGAAACCTGATGTTTCATTTCTGATTGCTGTTTTATATAATTATCTCATAATGATTAAGTTTTCTTTCTGAAAGGAAAAGAACACATTGTTTTTCCTGCATTATCTGATTTAATCATCCAAATAACAATGTGAAATATTATCAAACCCGTTTTAAAAGATGATGAAACTGGAGTGCAAAGGAATTTATTAAGAACATATGGAAGCACAGACTTTTGGGATTATACAACTAAAGCAAGTCATGATTAGTTTAAAAAATAGGTAAGTTCAACTTTTATTTCTGATAAATTAATACAATCACCAGGGATTTACTGGCTTCTAAATATAAATACAATAATAAAATATCTAATATCTATTATTAGATAATAAAATATCTAATAAAATAAGAGATGATCTGGGCCAGGCATGGAGGCTCACATCTGTAATCCCAGCATTTTGGGGAGCCAAGGCGGGCGAATCACCTAAGGTCAGGAGTTCGAGACCAACCTGGCCATCATGGTGAAACCCGTTCTCTATTAAAAATTAAAAAAAAAAAAAAATAGGTAGGTGTGGTGGCATGTGCCTGTAGTCCCAGTTACTCAGGAGGCTGAGGCAGGAAAATCGCTTGAACCCAGGAGGCAGAGGTTGCAGTGAACTGAGATCGTGCCACTGCATCCCAGTCTGAACGACAGAGTGAGACTCTCTCTCAAAAAAAAAAAAAAAAAATTATCCAGGCATGGTGGTGCATGCCTGTATCCCCAGCTATTTAAGAGGCCGAGGTGGGAGGATCATTTGAGCCCAGGAGCTCAAGGCTGCAGTGAGCTGTGATTAGGCCACTGCTCTCCAGCCTGGGCAACAGAGCAAGACCTTGTCTCAAAAAACGAAAGGAAGAAAAAGAGACAATCTGACTCAAAACCCTTCACTCATAATGACCACCCAATCAGCCTTCAGTGAACTTTTCCATGATGGCAGAGGAAGGGGAGCCTGTGTGCAAGAGAAGCACAACCAGGTTGGGATGGAGACTACCAAAAGAAGTACATAACATCAGAAAAAGCAAAGAACGCCATATTTTAAAGAAGAGGAATTGGTCACCTTAGCCAAGTGCCACACACAGACCCATGAAGGCATGGACTACAAAAGGCCAAACACATCTTGATGAAAAAGGGAAATTTGGTGACCTTAGTGAAAGCAGTTAAGAATGGTGGAGTCAAAAGCCAGGCACCTGTATGAGGTAAGAAAGCAGAGTCAGGGGTACAGTCCACTCCTTTGGAAATTTTGAGTTCTCAAAAAGAGGACAGAGACTTGATGGTGATTAGAAGGACAAATAGCACCAAAACCAGTTTCCCTTTTTAGGAACCTGTGGAGGAGAGGCTGGAGGCACATGACACAGGGACAATGACTGTAGGAATGAGATGTCAGAATTCAGAGTGACCTGAGTTCATGATTTAAGTCAGTGGCCTAGAGGACTTAGACTTGAAAAAAAGGGCAAGCCCTTCTCTGAGACAGGAAGACAGATCATGGGAACCCACATGAATGTGAAGAAGGAGAGCAGGTAGGTACCAGTTGGTGGCTGATAGAGGGCTTATCTGGGACCTAACTGTCCTCACTAAAGGAACAGCAAGATCATCTGCCAAGGCTGAGGAAGAGGGCACTAAAAGGGAGCGGAAGTGTGGGGAGCACTGTAAATATCTGAGGGAACTGGAGAGTTGAACAACCAGGAATAAGAGAAAGCATTGACAGGAACTGCTGAGGACTTGGCGAAGGCTTTAGGCTCGCAGTCAATTGTTTAGCATTACCTACTCTGTCAGGAGATGTGGCTTTTCATACAGAGTTATTACTCTCTAGAGCATGAAACCAGAGCAGGCAGATAGAGCCAGCATTCAGTTTTGCTGTATGAAAGCAGTGAAAGGCTGTAGTAATCAAGATGCAAGGTGACTGGCAAGAATTATTGCAGGCCAGAAATAAACTGAGGTTCTTGCACCAGTGTTGGTGAGGTTCTTTCTCCCTGTTCTGTATTTTCCAATGCCCCTATTCAAGACCAAGTGAGCCAGAAGTTAAATCACACACCCGGGATATTTCCTAGAGAGTTCAAGTATTTCACAGTGTGGGAGCTTGACCTACAAACACTGCTCCTGGTGTGTAAGGAAATGAGATTTTAAATCAGATCCTTACAGCAAAACATTAGAAACCAAGAAATATGCACTAACCCCTACACATCCCATGGAGAAAATGGATGGGTATACTCTGAATTCAATACAGTATTTGTGGTATGACCCTCAGATGGAATTTTTCCCCGACTGTCACAGACAGGAATGTGGCCGGTTTTGACAATCTCTCTAAAGAAACAAAGTTCTTCCTTGGTTCGCAAATCATGACAGAAATGTCGTAACTTCTTTACCTCAAATTAAAGAATTTTAGAGTTGGAAGAGAGAGCTGAGATTACGTAGATCACATCTTTAATTTCTAGAGGAGGAAACTCTCTAGGAACTCCAGTCCAAGGGGATAAAGGAATTTGCAGCAAGGTTCAGAACAAGAATCTAATTCGGCTTTTGTATCCTGCTGTGTCTCATATTACAATGTAAATTTTTTTCTTTTCTCTAAAATTGTTTCCTTTGTCTAAAATTTTTTATGTGAGTCTTATTCCTTAAACACTTAAAAATTAGCATTTTAAAGCATTTTAGAAGCTAGCCAGAGAAATCATTCAGGAAGTATTTTCTGGCAAGGATAAGTTGGGCTAAGTAAGAGATTGCAATTTTTTGCAGATTTAATACAGCTAAAAACAGGGATTTTCAAAAAGGCAGTATATTATGGACTAAAATCCTTACTCTAAAACTTACTATCTGCGTGCCTAAATTATTGAGTTAACATCTCTATATGTCTATTTTCATTTTCACAAAATAGGTAGAGTAATACTATTTTAGTACTATTTCATACGGTTTTTACAAAAATTATAAGCAACGTCCTTAACAGAGACTATAAAATGAAAGAATATTTTTAAAACAGCTATTGTTGTTGATATTGTTACCAAAAAATGTTTGCTTAAATTTTCTGTGATAACAGAGTAATCAAACAGTAATGACTTCCCAGTTCAAAAGATTCCATGGGGCTGAAAGTCAGCTTCCTCTGAATTGGCAGGGAAAACTTCACCTCTGAGCACATATTCTTTACATTTAAGACTCAAGGACATCAAGTTCCCAACATCTCGGAACATCAAGGTTTAAACTTTAGCCATCAGATGGTGGTGAGGGCCCCCTAAATGTGCCTGTCTCTCCTCCCTCAGTCTTCCAATCTGTAGTGTGAGATGTCCCCACCCCGTGCCCCATGTCAGTGCACACAACTTGCCTCTTTCACAGCACCTAGCACAGTTGATTCTTTTTTATTTTTATGATACATAGTAAGTGTATGTATGTATGGGATATGAGATATTTTGATACAGGCATATGATGTAATAATCACATCAGGGTAAATAGGGTATCCATCACCTCAAGCATTTATCATTTCTTTGTATTATAAACATTCAATTAGACTCTTTCAGTTATTTTAAAATGTATG